CCGTGGGCGTAACCGTCCCCCTGTCCCGCACGGAGCGAGAGAAGTAAAGATGGAGGGAGAAGGGAAAGTGGGTGTGTGAGAGAGAGAGAGAGAGAGAGAGAGAGAGAGAGAGAGAGAGAGAGAGAAGACAGCCTCGTTCGTCCCCCCAAGAGATAATCAATACCCTCTGGCTTGGCAAACAGCTGTCAACAAACTGACCGCTTTCACAGCCCAACGGTGATGTGTGTATGTGAGGGGGGTGGGGTCAGGGCAGGTGTGTGTGGTGGGTGGTTGTGTTTGACCTGTGCTCGTAGGCGGCGCTTTCTGGAGCGTGAAAAGCTTTAGCGCGATGGCCGACGTCTGTGGCCGCACTGCTGAGAGTAATGCTTTCTGACTGCACCCAGAAACAGAGAGAGAGAGAGAGAGAGAGAGAGAGAGAGAGGACACTGGAAAGAGGAAGAAACGAAGAGATGAGATGAGGTCACTGCTAGAGATGTGCATTCCGACTATTTTTGATATTCAGGTATACACAAGATATCCAACCAAAATTAACATATGGCCAAAAGCCTACCCTTTTAGGTAATAAGCCTGGTGTTAAAGGGGAATACCACTGATTTTTCAAAATTTCTTCATATGTCAGTGTAAATTTAGAGAGTCAGGTTTCTTTACAGTGGTGTTCATAGAAACCAGGGCTCACAATGTCCACAACACAAATATAGCCATTTTATTTACTATCCAAAACCAGCAGTGAACCTACATGTGCCTTTTAAGTGTTTATATGTTGATGATGATAAAATAGTGGGATAATCTAAAAATATGTTTTGTTGGGGATTGTTTTTGCCTTACAAAACTTGCATGTGGGCGAAAAATGATCCCAAAGCTATCATAAAACAATGTCTCAGACGTCAGGCAGCATATTCATAATCATTTCATGTAATAACTTTCTGTGAGGAAGCTTTTAAAAGCTTCAGATGTCTGGTTCCTATCACTACCAGTGTGAACAGTTCTGACTCTGTAAGGAAACCTAGAATTTAACGAACCTTTCTTTATGTCTCACCTATTTAATTGTATAAACATTTTTAAAAAGCAGATACATTTGAAAAAATGCTTTATTGTTCAACATCAGTCTTTTTCATGTTGAATGAGTAACTGAGCCTGCCTCTTCAGATGAGCTAAAACTACAGCTAACTGGTAGCACTGGATGTTCCTCGTCCACAAGAGACATTTTCTCCTCAGTGAACGATGAGACAACATGTTAGATTGTCAGATAAAAACTTTTCCACTGTTTCTGGACCTGGCTGACCTCAGCTACAGTAGCTAGCCTAACAATAAAGCTGTAAACAACTGCCTTCCCAAATCACATCCTTAACAATGCACCTTTTGCATCATGCTCAGGGTCAGGCACTTGTGTTTTGGAGTGGCACAGTAAAACATACACACCTACTCACAAATACAAGCCAAACGAGTCTGTATATCTTCTCCATCTCCATGTCATACAGTATTACATAAGCAGGTCTATTAGATCTTATTGAATAAACTCAACACGGTTTGAGGCAAGTGTGCTGATTTAGGTGTGTCGTTTACACACTAACTGGTGTACAGCTGTGTAAAAGTCAGAGAGCACCCTTCATTTATTTAATTTCCAGTTGAAACAGCTATTAGGTATAAGTTACTCATTTTTCAATAAATATTTCTGAGTAGACCATCCACTCAAGTTTCCAAAACTTCTAAAAGCTAATACATAAATAAATAAATAAATAATAAAAGCTGTAGAAAAAAATGGGACTCCCAGCAACCATCTGCAAGGGCTGGTAGACACCAAAACTGCCCCCATCAGATAAACAGCACTTAAAGCTTTCATCTTTGAGAGAGAGGAGAAAATCAAGCTGCTTCAGATCTGAAAACATCCACAGGTGTTTCTGTCCATCCTTCCACTGTGAGAAGACGACTCAGCGCTATGGGTCTGAAAGGATGTGTAGCTGCCAAAAAGAACCTCACTGAGAAAAGGAGACAGACCACCCCAGAGTCCAGACCTCAACATCACTGAATGTGTTTGATTACTTCAGTAAATTATCAACCAGCTTCTAAGACTGAACTTTGGAGGTGTGTCTGCAGATTCTTTGAGAAACTGAAAGTGAGTCTCCTGAAAAAAATGGAAGCTGTAATAAAGGTAACGACAGACACTAAATACTGACAATGATCTGAAATTATGTCCAGTTGTTGAGGCTTTTGTGTAGTTTTCTGTTTTCTGCCGATGCTGGAAATGAATAACGTGTACTTGATATCCATTTTCACTAGAAATTACATAAACGATGGCTCATCTTTTTTGAACAGTCCCGAACATGAGCGCCCATCGCTTGTTAGCTACCTTAGCCTCGTAGCTCCAGAGCAAAACTGAAGAACAAACTTCCGACACCAGACATGTCTTGGCTGTTTGACTATGTTAGGGGTTAGAGGTAAATTAGCTTTTTGGCTGATGTATTCCTCCAATAAACAGTGAGAGGAGGCGACTGTTGACTCTCTCTGCATCTTTACACTCTGTGTCACTCTTTAATGTATGCTGTTGCAGTCACATGCACTGTCAGAGAGGGCCTGCCCCCCTGCATGCTGTAATGACAGGCCCATATGGGCTATGAGTCTCTGCTCACCTTCTGCTGTCCAACATACACCTTCATATTGTCCTCTGGACAAAGAGGGCTGGATGGTTAAAGGGAAAGTTTTCATCTTTTTACCTCTTTTTTGCAAATATATATATATATAATGCACAGACTAAATACTGCAATGTATTGCATTAATATTACTACATAATGTAGTTGTGATATACTTTGTATTGTGGCATCATTGGTCACCCTGCTGTAGGAGCGCGGGAGGCATGGCCATGCAAAGCGGCCATGCAAAGTGGCTCTTGGGGAGTGCCATGCTTGTAGTAGGAGAGACATTTATTGTTGTCTAAGTTGTCTACATGTAGGTTGTGCTATTCTGTGCTGGGCTGAGGGGCAGTTAGATGAAAAGAAAAAATGATGCAATTGATTATTTTTTCAACCTCAGATTCCTTGGTCGTTGCTCATTTTCTGTGAAGAACATATAAAATAACACACTTTCAATGACTCCACACTGTTCAACCCCTACACATTTATATTACACGTGGTGTTGGGGTGAACCTGCGGGGAGTAAAAGTGTGGAGGTGCTGTGTCGCTTTCACTCTGTTCTCCTCCTACACGGCCTGCTGTTAGTGTGTGTGTCTGTGTGTGTGTGTGTCTGTGTGTGTGTGTGTGTGTGTGTGTGTGTGTGTGTGTGTGAGGGTGGACAACATGGACAGGCTGCTGACTGGCTACAGCTGCTAAAGGAGAGCCCTATGCTGGCCACATGTGATATTTTAAACATCTGGTATTTTTACATAAATTGTTATGGCTGTATTGATTTAAAAATAGTAATGCGGTGGGCCCACCGGACCACTGAGTAACAACAACATCAACACCACACAAAGGTTAAGGTTAAAACTGACCTGTCTGCTTCCTGGTCATGTCAGTTAGTGCTGAGCGGTGGTTCTTTCTTGCTGCATGCTTGATAAAAGAGCATTAGTGCAACGTCTCCCAAGTCTTATTCCACAATGATGCCACAATATTGTATCGATTCACTACTGGCTGTAGATGTGCAGGAGACGTGGCCATGCAGAGCAGCATCATATGGAGCCTTAAGGGGGCGCCGTATTACAATAGAAGAGTCATTTTGATGTATATATTTGTGGTTCTGTGAGTGTTATTAGCGCAGACGGGTTCTTTCTGCTGTTCCGTGCTGGGCAGTGGGGCAGTTGGTGTTTCGTCTGTAGTCACCATGTATAGACATTGTATGGTGAGAGGTGACCTGCCGCACTGTCCTGGCCATTGAGATAGTGCTGAGTGGCAGTTCTCCCTTGCTACTTGCTACCTGGTCAATAAAAGAGCATGTTTCCTGTGTCTTATTCTATGCCGATGCAACAATATATTTAAAGTATGCTGGTAAATATCTGACGTATCATTATTAAATATAACATTCGCAAACAGTATTTTGACCAAAATATTTGCTTTTTTTGTACTTTTTTTTTATCTCTTTGGCTATTCAGAGTGGTTTGATGTGAAATGGGTCATTGTAGATGTAAATGTAATTATTTTAATCTGTAATGTTAATGATGATGAAATAGTGGTAAATCTGAAAAAACTATGTTTCATTTGGGGACTATTTTGCTTTATTTTGCCATTTGGCACCTGAAATTACATGTTTTATTGAAAAAAGTAATAAGTTGACAAATCCTGTACTGTAAATTTAAATATAGTAATTTCATGCACATCTTAGAGCACAATTTCTACAAATTTGCACGTTTTGCACACGACTGTTCCTAAAAGTCTTATCTCAAGATCTCCAACATTGTATTTGTAAACATTTCATGCAATAACTTTTGGTGAGGGAGCTTTCAGAGGCATTATACTCTACAGACGTCTGGTTCCTATCACCACCACTGTGAACAATTCTGACTCTGAGTTTCTCTAGAACGAAGCATTTCACAGTAAACCCACTCGGAATGACTTTCTTTACATCTCAACCATTTATTTATGCAGGAATTTCCCTTCAAGGACATATTTTTGTCCCATCTCCTGTAAAGTTACCGTGTCATTTTCTGGTCCTCTGTGTAAATGAATGCCATCCTTATCAGTGCAGATAGAGCACATCGCCACACTTTCAGCAAGAGCTGCAAACAGCAGTCAGCACTGCATTTCCTTCCAAGTGTGCCGGAGCATGACTGTGTCTTTTCTCATGCAGTCTCGGTTTGGCCGGTACATTGCCAACCTGTGGCAGTGCTGGCTTCAGTAGCGCAGAGAAAAAGAAGGTGGGGGGGGGTGTAGGAGAGCAGGAGGCGGAGCTCGGAGAGGGGGGTTCTGCATTGGATTGGCTGGAATTAAAGGGGCTGGCACGGAGGGGGGTGGATTAGTGCTGGTGGGAGGAGGTGCTGAGGATTGGCTCAGCTTTTCAGCAGCAGATCAGGACACAGCGGAGAGAGAGCCACACGGAGAGAGCGAGAGAGAGAGAAGGGTAAGGAGATTTTGGAGCATTTCTCACTCAGTTTCGTCTCCAGCTGCTCTTTTACATGAACGTGTGTATTTGGATGTGTATGTTAACGTGTATGTGCGTGGACGGGCTCCTCTGTCTGAGATAGTGGGACTCTATTGGGTTCCTCAGTTGGACAAACTCCACTTTTCCTGATCGGAGGTCATTCCTTCACTCTGGTTGGTGTTATCTTCGCTACCATCCAAAGACTAACAGTATGCATGTTTGTGTGTGATTTGTGGTTTTGGGGAAGCCTCTCTCACTGTGGTCAAGCTCCAGTATTTTAGACTTTAACACTTGGAAAGGACACCTGGCTGTCAGCTTTGAGGCAACATTCATACCTCCACGTGGATCTACCTGCCTTTTTTGGGATTCTACCAGTTTACCATCTTGCCTTTTGGATTTCCTGTGCTCCGGCTCTTTTCTTTTGCACTCTGACTCTGAACTTAACTTCTAAGGCACGTTGAGGTAAGAGATCTGAGCATTAACTTTTATCCCTCTCTCACGGCTGACCAAGTTAGTTTTGTGTATTGAATGGAAATTTTATACACTGATGAGAAAAGTGCTGCATTGAATTTACTTGATTCAAATGTGTTTCATTTCCACATAAAATCAACACATTTTCAAAATGAAACAAACTAAAGGACAAAACTGTGTTGGTGTAACACATTTTAGTCTTTAAAATAGAAAAAAATGCATCACTTTTTAAACATTTAAGTTTTATTGCAACATGTGCCAGTGCAAGACCACGGCAGGTGTATATGTATCCAATATGATGTTCTGCAGATTTGTTAACTATAAACATCATCTTAAATTATTACTAACCTTAAAACAAACACTTAGTGTAACTCTAACTTTACTGATAATGTAAATATGGTATATCACAATAAAATATAGATCTAATATATATATCCATATATATGTACCTATATATATATATATATATATATATATATATATATATATATATATATATCACATATATATCTGTCCGAAGAAAACCTCATATTTCCATTGTTGTTGTTTTTGTACGTTTTTACAGAATTTGAAAATGCCAGTTCACTTTTACAATGTGCCAAAATTGTATGATGAACAGACCACCAGAAATGCTCCAAAAGTGCTTGGAAAAAAATCTAGTTCCCTTAACTTCCTTTCAAAACTAAGAATGTTTTTCCTTATACATATATATATATATATATATATATATATATATATATATATATATATATATATATATATATATATCTCATTAGCGTCTGAGCTGCACTACATCCAGTGAAATGACAACTAGGGGCTACAATATGAACTCGAAACATATAACAAGTTCATACAACAAGTAGGTAACAAAGAAATAAAACAAAGATATGAATATGGTATTAATTATAATATAGCACAGATATTAACTGAAAGTTTAAAGCCCACTCCTAATAATGTATATCATGAAATACTGTCTTGATTAAGCTGTGTTTGTAATGAAGCATGCAGTTGTTCAGTGTTCTTTAAATACTGACCATTTCCACCATATGCTCAGAGGACAATACAGTGATGCGACATCTATAATTTAGCACAATAGCAATAAATATCGTCACACTGCCCACTCCTTTTTCATTCATAATCAGAGCATCTGTAGATCATCCATACTGGGCTGTCCTAATAAAGTGGCTGAGGGTTTTAATTGTGACTGAGCTGTCCACCTTCATGTGTTGACGTATGTGTTCACATGTATGTGTGTATTGTCAGTGCTTTGTAATGGTGCTGGTCTCCAGCAGGAAGGTTACAGCTAATTAAACCACAATCCTCCCCACCGGAGCACAAAACGCTGAGCTCTGACTGATCCTACAGCAGCTGCTACTCTACCAACACCTCTGAGAACTAAACACATACACACTCACCCTCTCTCTCTCTCTCTCTCTCTCTCTCTCTCTCTGTCTCTGTCTCTCTCTCTCTCTCTCTCTCTTTCTCTCTTTATTCTCTCTGTCTTATCTTTCTCCCTCCTCTTTCTCATGCTCTCACCCTCTTCATCTCTTTCTCACTGTCTCTTTCCTCTCTCTCTTGCTCTCTCTCTCTCTCTCTCTCTCTCTCTCTCTCTTGCTGTGTGTCTCTCTCTCTTTCCTCTTTCTCTATGCATCTCTTTCTGTCTCTTTCTCTCTTTATTTGTCTGTCTCTATCTCTTCTCTCTCATTATTCCATTATTTTATTATTCCATTATTTTACATACAGCTGTGTGTAAAAGTTTAGGAACCCCTGGTCAAACGACGTTTAGTTGATTTTCTAAGTGTTCTTAGACTCTACAGAGAACACAGTTCGGCACACTTTAATACACAATTACTGTTTATTTGCTGAATTGAACATGTTGTGAAAGTAAAATATAATATAATATGTGGCTTGTGCAAAAGTTATGGCACAGTTTGTATTTTCTGTTTATTTCCTATGCTAAATACAAATAAATAAATATTAATTATGCACTAAAATTGCAAAATTGAAGTGTGTTCTCTGTAGAGGATGTGTTTACTTATTTTCTCTTAGAAAATCAATCATATATATATATATATATATATATATATATATATATATATATATATATATAACACCTTTACAGACTCACATTGTTTTAAGTGGTATGTAATATTTGAAGTTATTATGTAAGTAAGGTGCCATTTACAGGGTTTATATTTTTACTAATTTTAACATTTTGTCCCTGTTGGATTTGTCTTGCTGTTCCAACATGGACAGCTCACCGGCTACGACTGGTTAGTTGACTAGGTAGCTTTGAGAGGACTAAACAATGTTAAACATTTGACAGTAGTGGGTAATTTATTCTCAGCAGCTTTAACTCAGTCAGTAGGAGCTCTGTTTGATTTAGTGCAGCTAGAGGTCACCTACTGCACACGCAGTGACCACACGCTTACTTACCTTTCCTCTGAAACACAGAGACAGATGGCTTTCCCTGAAGAGAGAGAGAGAGACTCTACCTTTTAATCTAGTACAGTTTATTCTGGTTTTAAAATAGAGCTACATGACCCCTATACACACACACACACACACACACACACACACACACACACACACACATTCTTATACCTTGCACAGTCACACATATGTCTCATTATATAAGTGTGTAATGATAATATGTCCCATATATATTATATATGTAGGCATTATACATAAGGAATATGTAATACATTCTAAATATGTAATACATAGAGTTATCAAATGATTATTGTGATTAATTGCATGTTTTGTGTAGTTAATTTTGATCAATCACATTTTGCTCAAATATGAATCTAAAGAGTTTGTTTTTTCCTTGTGTAAAGCAGTGCATTCATTATAACTTATTTTGGAACTTATTTTGAGTGTATTTATTACATTCAGTAATTCAATAACTGTGCACCTGAAGTCGAAAACAGTTTACCGTTTTCATCACTGCGTCCAGTGAGAGCAGCAGTGGCTGCATGTTCAATGAGTGTATATATCCCATGTGTCAAACACACAATCCTACCCGGCCCACAAAAGGATTTTAGTTTTCTATTAATATTAGCCCGTTTCACAGTGCACTGCACTACAGTCCCCAGCATGCACTGCATTGTAATGTGTGCTCTGACTCTCCTACCCCAACAACGATATATGGGACAGTGGTTACACCTCAATTCCACACCAGTCATATCACCAAACACACCAGCTGCATTTCAGCTGCAGTCCAACCAATATAAACACCTAACATCAGCTCAGCAGCTCAGAAATGTAGCCCAAGTTTTAATGAACAAAGAAAAGATACCAGGTGTCCAGTTAAGCAGATAGGCAGGTTTAAAAGACTGAGCTCCTGGTGACATTTAAACTATTTCAGTATTTCAAGTATTCATGTAATATTTCAGGGTCCACTACAAGTGCCTATATTTTACTATTTGGACTAAACAATGGCCAGTCAGGGTTACAGCACAACATTAATTAAAAGTTAAATAAAAATATTTTTTTCTCTGGCCCACAGATTTGATGAGATTTTTTAATATGGCCTCTTTAGTGATTGAGTTTGACACCCCTGGTATATATCATGTATATCACATATACAGTCAATGGTCCCGCTCCTCCATGAATGTAGCCTCTCGCTCTCGTTCATACAGCTCATGGATTCTTGTTTCAGTGAAGGCTCTCGAGGGGAACTGGAGCTCCACTTTGATGTTGCTTTTGTTAGTTTGCTGCTCATTGATTTATCCATAGATCTCCCACGAGAACTGTTCAGCATGTTACTGCTGGTGATGTGTTTTGCTTGTAAATGATGCTCCAGACTCTGTGCACTCTGTGTGATAAACAAACTCACAGCCATCAGTTGAACTAATCGTGTAAAAGCTGTGTTTCAACATGGGGTCTACAGTCGCAGAGTTATAGCAACAGTGTGCCGCAGCTGGGCTTCAGGGTGGAACTGTGGGTAGTTTGAAGGGTCAAACTAGGAAAATTTGTTAATGGCGTTAATTTTTGTTTGTGGCGTCAATAATTTACTAATGTTACTAATGTTAACTTTGATGCCACTAGTCATAATAATGTGTCTCGTATGTATGTACAATGCCAGGTTTGTATATTTTAACTGCAGTTCACCTATAATGACATCACAAGTTAATTTGGCCAAGCTTTCATTTCAGATTCTCTCTCTCTCTCTCTCTCTCTCTCTCTCTCTCAGTGTAAATGTCATACCTGTGCCCTGGATCACATTAATGTGAATGGCTTTAACACCATTGTTCAGCTCTGGAGTAAAATGCCATATTAACACCCCTGGATGGACCCTCACAGAGCAGCTACTATTTGGGTGGTGGATCATTCTCAGCACTGAGTGTGTTAGTGTGTGTTGTGCTGGTACGAGTGGATCAGGCACAGCAGTGCTGCTGGAGTTTTTAAACACTGTGTCCACTCACTGTCCACTTTTAAGACACTCCTACCTTGTCAGTCCACCTTGTAGATGTAAAGTCAGAGACGATAGCTCATCTGCTGCTGCACAGTTTGTGTTGGCTGGATATTTTTGGTTGGTGGACTATTCTCAGTCCAGCAGTGACTCTGAGGTGTTTAAAAACTTCAGCAGCACTGCTGTGTCTGATCCACTCAGACCAGCACAACACACACTAACACACCACCACCACGTCAGTGTTACTGCAGTGCTGAGAATGATCCACCACCCAAATAGTACCTGCTCTGTGAGGGTCCACGGGGGTCCTGACCACTGAAGAACAGGGTAAAAGGTTATGCCTGATATAGATTTGTGTGTCTGTGCGTATACATATGTGTAATGTTTCTAAGCCTAATCTTAAACCTAACCTTTAATCCCCAGAAGCTAATCAAAATAAACCAGAGATCTTGTATAAACACAGACAGGCACAGACATTCACATACCCATGAGAAGCCTGTGTGGTGTGGATGAAGTCTGTAATAAACCTGAGGAAGCTGAAGTGCACGCTGTGACTGGGATGAATTCACACTGGTGA